CCCAACCTCACACATTCTTTTCAGTGTTAAGAACACGATATTTACACATTTTAACAATGAATTAAATTATATCAATCTAATCAAAAATAACTTAACTGCTCTGAATGTTTGTAAGTCTCACCACGAAGTATAAAACTGATTTTTAATTTCGGTACCAAAACATACCTTCCACAAGGGGCTCCAAAGGCGTTCCGATCGTAACAAACGTATCCTCATCGCTATCACTGTCTGCCATGTTTCTTAAAAAGTAGGTCGGATGCAGGTGCTCATTTCAGCGTGTAGCCAAAATGTGACAAAATGTTCTTTAAACATGTTGAATTCAACGTACTACAGAATGCGTTTTTCCAATTTTGAAAAGCGTAATATTTGCAAAGGAGAGATAAATAGGTTAAATCAGTTTGGTTTATTTGTGGAGACCTGAATCACGTATGACCCAGTTAAGTCAACCAATCACGTAGAACCTAACCATTTCATGCCGAACACGGAAGTAGCAAAGTGCGCAAGAGCATCTTTCGAGGAAAACAAAGTGATAGGTGGTTTTGGGACCTTTGCCGATGGTTTCCTTAATAACACAGACATGAGATGAAGAGGATAAGCTTTAGAAGCTCAAAGAATTCCACGGACAGGTCTCCGACAGATATCCTAGCGCCGATCGCGACGAATACTGCGTCTGAACGGAGAGAACCCCCCAATGTCCGCTCTGCCCCCTGCTCGCCAAGGTGCCAGACGGGGAGGGATGAGTCAGTGCCAGTGGAATCAAATAACACGAGTAATGAAAATACACCTCGTGGGAACAATGAAGTTGATGTCCCCCTCCCCAAACGCAAGGACAAAAAGAGTTTCTTTAAAGCGTTAAAGAAGAGGTTGTCTCGTAGACAAAGTGACAGTAGTTCACCGTCGACTAGATATGAACACACCCTAGAAGGGGCCAACCGCACGAGAAGGGCAGTTTCAGACATTTCACCATTTAGCAATGACCCGAGGTACGGTGATCCCCCTGTACCTGCCCCGCGGTCGTCGCTGCAATCTAAAGTGAGTAGTCCCCCAGCCACAGCAACAGTGCCCGAGGAAAGTTTCAGTCGATCTCCCACTGCCCGTATCAACGAGGAAACAAAACAAGGGGCAAGACCTTGTGATAGAACACTTGTACAGTCTGAAACTGACACAGTAGAAACAGACATTCAGACAGAACCTGCAACTAATAATAGTGTAGTAAAAGTATGTAGTGCTACAGACAGGGAGGCAGTCATTGGGAAGTGCAATAGTCAGAGTGACTTGTATTCAGATGGTGTTTTTCATGCCCCCCAGAGTAGTGGTGCTAGTAATACAGCAATACAATCTCCAGTTCGAAGGAAGGAGGCTGGTCACACTCCTGATGCCTATGGAGACTTGGTGTCCCCAGTAGATCCTGTATATGATCAGGTACAGAGCCTGACAGACCAGTGGAGTTTAACGCGAGAACTGTTTCGTCTGTCTCGATATGGCTGGTACTGGGGCCCTATCACGCGCCAAGAGGCAGAGGAAAAACTGGCCGACCAACCAGATGGTGCTTTCTTGGTGCGGGACAGCTCTGACGATCGTTACTTGTTGAGTTTGAGCTTCAGATCGTATGGAAGGACATTGCACACGCGGATTGAGCATTGCAATGGAGTTTTCAGTTTCTATGCTCAGCCCGAATCTGAAGGATACAACTCCATTGTGGAACTGATTGAAAATTCCATGAATGATTCACAGACTGGAATTTTTTGCTACTCTCGCTCAAGAAATCCAGGTTCTCCATCTTTTCCAGTTCGTCTTGCCAGGCCGATATCTCGATTCACACAAGTGCGATCTCTGCAGTACCTGTGCCGTTTTGTCATCAGACAGGCCACGAGATTTGATCACATTCAAAAACTACCTCTTCCAAACAAAATTAAGGAGTGGTTGGAAGAAAAACAGTACTGAATGGTATTGACAGTGGGGATTTTATTTGTTCAAGCTAGTCTTTCTTCTCTTTTTTTTTCAGCCTTGTTACTGTTTTTCAAAAATCAGATCAACGATAATTTTTCATATTGGAAAATTGATTTTTGAAAAGATTTTTAGCTGAAGAAAGTGCATTTGGGTGAATAATTTTATATATGCAAGCTGCATTAGCATAAGTATAGGTAGTGCTATCACGTTGTTACCATTTATAGGTAAATATAATTGATTCAGATTTTTTTTTTTTCTGTTCACAATAACAAAGAATGCCAATTGCAGAAAAATTTATGCTGCAAAAGTCAACATACTGCTGATGGAATTTTCTTATGATAAAATGGGTTAATACTTTGGGCTAATTTTCGCATCAGCATTTTATTTAGATTTAATCAAATTTTAATACCAGATTTTTTTTAAAATTGAGAGCCAATCAGGAATGTTGTTGGCATTTGCTAAAAATTTTATTTATAAATTAGCACCTTAAAATTTAACCAGCAGCAAAGTTAGAGACAGAAAAACTAATAAGATTGCATGAATGTTAACTTAAATTGTTTTTCAATCTTGAATCAGTTTTTATAAGAATTGGTAAAAAAGGACACATGTTAGGGTATTCTGCATATGGGGACCTTCTCTCAGTTATTGACTGCATCCTACCTGAACAGAGGTTTGGGGGTTTTGCATCAAAAATCACAATAAATTTAGCCTCAGCACCCCAAAGCTCAGCTTTACTGTGCCACATTTTGTTAATAAAATTTCTTCCACTATTAATATTATAATATTTTATCACGTCAAAGACATCTTTTCACTAATCTTGCTGTCTATCCAATGTGAAGATGGTTGATTTCAAGTTTATGGGAATTGATAAGTTTTTGTCCCATCCTTAAATAAAGATCAGACGTAACTGATCTATATTCTGAAATGCTGTTACATTTATTTGCCAGTCCTTCATTAATTTCACTAGGAATCGATTCAGTTCGGAAATGGTTAAACTACGAACGTTAAACATTCTCACAGCTTAACACCTTGAATTCTAGTCCCACTGATATATATGCATTTTGTGTCAAGGAAAGATGTCATTAACTAGAGCACTTAAACTTAGGGATCTAGGCCGGACATCTTATTCAGAGTAGCTCGGTAGGAGTTTACATGTTACTGTGTACACTAAGGAATGGTCTTTGGACTAGGTTTTCTCTTTATATAAGTCCAGATACAACCTACATGGTACATTCCTTACAATCGAGGGGGAAAATTATAACAGTCAAACACCTAGTTTCAAAGTACTGAAAGTGACTCCATTACAAAGCACATTTTCTGTCACATTTTTAGTATATTTCATGTTTATGTTAACTGAACAATCGTTGGTTTTGTTACCAAAAGGGAGCACACTGTTAACATATTTATTTTTGCTCAACATTTTTCCATGTATTACTAAAAAAGCACCCTCCATCTTAAAATAAACTATTTTGTGTCACTGTTATAGAAGAGAGTCACATTTAGTACTAAGACTGGGTTCCCATGCCTAGATCGATCCATCTGGATCGGCCTAACTCTCTGGGGAGTCTCACTAAATTGCTATCAACTAACCGGCTTAAATATCTGTCACGCCTACCGAATTAGCTAGCGGATGAAGATAATTACCCCCTCACAGCTTTACTAGGCTTGACAGACATTTAAGCTGGCTAAGTTGATAGCAATTTAGTGAGACTCTTCAGGGAGATGGATCAATCCAAATATCCCTTAGGAACTCGGGGTGACCAGGGATGACACACATAGCCATTTGTTACATACTGAAATGATAGCAAACACTGGAATATTTTTTGGTGTCAACATCGTATTTTTACAGACGTATACCAAAATCTGGCAGAAAAGCGTGGGTGAAAGTTTTCAGGATTATGCCCTATTTCAAGAAATATCAATCTTGATTTTGATTGTTTTTCATATAGTATAAAGGCATTGAGAAATTGCAAGCTACATATTCAGTGTTTTCAGTTTTTATAACCTTCCGTCATGGCAAAGATCGTTGATATTGTTGAGCAAATATATATTGTAACAAGATGTGTCAAGTTGATGTGACTTCCATTGTTAACAAAGATGTTAATTTTTACAAGCAATTTAATCTTGGTGGTTAATGCAGACCTTATACCAATACTGCTTCCATTTTGTTACTTATAATTGGGAATCATTGCTTATTGAATAAAATTATTTCAACTGTTTTTGATACATTATAAGTGATTGTTTTCCTGATTTTTTGCATATTTTTATGGATTGTTAATCTTATAATCCTGAGCTTTCAGTTCAGCAGTATGAATCTGTTATAATATGAGTTAATTGGCATGTGACTAACATGTAAAGTAATGCATTGGTTTCTTGCCAACTTTTCAGTAATTGCAATAAATTATGGCAGTATGATTCAGAGGCACGTTGGGCATGAGTAATTAAAATAAGGAACAACGCGGAGGAGCTTTCAAATGTATGCAGACACCATATTGCAAAAATATCGCAAAAATATTTGAGGAGCACGTCCATCGTGCGACTTTTGGAGGACGCAAAAAGCACGTAGAAACTTTTCACCAATTGCTTGATTTCTTCCCTGCGATCTAGCTACGTCCTAGCCGGATGCAAGGAACATTAAAACCGTGCGTCCAAAACGTAGTTGAAACCTAGGCTTTAAAGTTGTAAAAAACAACTTTAATGTAGATCTTCAAAGGTGCATCAATATACATATTTCTATCGGTAACGTATGTATTGGTATCGTTACCGATACATAAAATTGTTCAGGCTCGTAGCCAGCAATTTCAAAAGGGGGGTTCTTTTTCTGAAAAAGTGGACCTTTTTTCCATAAACTTCATGTACCTAGATCAAATTAATTTTACCCAGAGTGGACCTTTTCCCAGCAAAAGGGGCGGTTCTTTCGAACTCCCCGAACCCCCCTGGCTACGGGCCTGTTGTTTGTTGTCTGTCGCAACTATGTGAGTACGTGAAACATCATACATGAGCGCACGTATTTTTCTACGATGCACATTCCTCTTTGTTACGTTGTCGTAGCGAGTTTGATATCCATCGATAGAAGTATATATATATTGATGCACCGATACATACGTTACCTATGTTTTTTAATAACTGGTATCTGCCTCCAACTTCTGGTGGCGTCCTGCTAGGACGTAGCTAGATCGCACGTAGCGGCTGTTGATCATGTCTAAAAGTTTCTACGTGCTGTTTGCGTCCTCCAAAAGTCGCAAGATGGACGTGCTCCTCACGCACGAACTCCCACGTTTTGCCCATTTTTTTGGCCGTAGACCACACGTAGCAGCCCGTACGTTTGGTTTGGACCTAGGCTTTAGGGACAGGTGCGATGGCCGTGGAAATTGTGCTTATTTCTTGAGTTTGGCACGCACTGACAGCTTACGAAGAGAATGCAACGCACGGCGAAATAGTTCCCTTTTGCTTCACACTTGCCTCTCACGCTTGTGATGACGTACTGACGGCGTACGTCAGTTTTGGTTCCTGTTCTCCCCTTCTTTCTTCTTCCCCCTCCCTTCTTTTCTGCTCTCTAAGCTTCTTCCTAACATCACTTTCAGCAACTTTCTTTATCATCAAATGCCCATTCTTGCCTTGCTGAATTGGAGATTTGAAAAAGAAGGCATTTAATTAACTCCATGCAGTCCTTTTTGGCCCTACATGGATTTACTGTTATCAAGTCATCCATTTACTCATTAGATTGGCAATTATATAATTCAGCATACTGTTTGTATTGTAACATACTAATAAAGACTCCAATACATCCAACTTAGTCAAACGGGGTCTACTTAGAACCCCTCACCCAGGCTTATGAGGTTAACCATGGATTCTTTCTTAATCTGTTGAATGCGTATCAAAGCAAACCACACTAAAAAATAAAAATAAAGAAGGAGCCTACATTTCGGTTCTTCATATATTTATTATGAGCACTGACAATCAAAATTGAAAATCGCTTCAATGTATTTCATTAGATTTATTACATTTCTGACAGAAATCACAAGTCCAGACAGAACGTGACAAAACTGAGCAATGTTTAAAAATTATCATCTCTATCTAGCAGTTTGAAATGTATTCCAGTTTTTCACATCTGTAATTACTGAGTTTGCTACATATACGTAGTCATCACATCACTTTCTGTGTTTAAGTGGTCAAACTTTCATAAAACTTTATAAAAGCTTTATAATGCACAGCAAAACCATTCAATAAGGTTTTTAATGTCACCACAAAAAAGTATATCAAATTTTGCAATCCCACAGGTTTCTCCATGGTCCATTAGTCATCCTTTGTTCTTACAAAGCAATAGTTTGTGTTAGTCACTGTTTTTTTCAAAAACTAGTCTTTGGCATTCAATACCCTTAGTTTCAGAGTGTGGAACATGACTATCTTTTGCCCTCTATATCATCACAGCTAGAATACACTGATGAAAAGGAAAGTCACTACAATGCATCTCATACTCAGGGTGACAGTCAAGGGTATGCATATCTCATTTTTCAGTCACATAAAACACTATTTGGTTCCAAGTTGTAGACGGTTTGCCAGCTGCTTTCCTAGGGTCAGTGTTGAGGTTGTGGTATTGTGGTTATCTTTTGTAAGAGTTCATGCCAGCCAAGTTACATGCCTGAAAGGAGAAGAAAAAAATAATAAACAAGTTAACTGTTAGGTGAAGGTAAAGTCCTTGCATCAGGGCTTCATTCTTTAATTATTTGTCTGTCTGTTTGTATGTCTGTTTATTCATCACAAACGCCAAACCTTTCTTTCAGATAGCAAATTCTCCAAAAAGTAAATTTGTTTTCAAATATCAAAAGTTCCAATAAACCTAGATTCACTTCCTTTATTGCAATAGACAAGGTTGTGGTTAAGCAGACTGTACTGTGGTCAAATCATGGTGTGGCTGAAAGGCATTTTTTCCATTTCTTTTTTTTTTAATTTTAATGACTGAGAGGAGATAACAACAAACAGCATTCAATAATATTTTTAATAAATCTGCACAACTTCTTTCTACTGAGACAAAAGGGAAATTAGTTTTTTTATCAGAAACTATTGGATTCACTGACTTTACAGCTGCAACAAGTAATTCTTATTTTCTTATACTTTTTTAATGTTTACAAATCTGTCCCATTACAAACCAGTAAACTACAGTAAACCATCAGTAAACCAAAGATAAACCTCCTACTCACCAGCTGTGTCAGTCCCCAGAAACTTTCCCCTGCCACCTGCCCTCCCTCTGTGACCTAGTAACATTTAATATATAATATAAATATAACACAAATACTACTACTACCACTTCTGCCCACTACTGCTACTACTACTACTACCGCAGCAAATAATAATAATAATAATAATAATAATAATAATAATAATAATAAAGCCCTTTAAGGTTATATGCCAATTAATGTAAAATATAGAGTTTAAAACTTAAAAATTCTAAAACATACCAACTAAAACTACCAATTTAACACAAATACTTTAAAAAGTGTAGTTGGGGTAGAATGAAACTAGATTATCTGTAAACATTCATGACTGAATTAGATCCTCTCTCCTGCAGTGAGTGTTTCAACATAAACATCTGATAAAAATCAGATCTAGAGCAATAATGCATGGTGGGCAACTGACTACTCAGTAGTGGTGCCCTCTATCTTTCATAATAATAAATAATGAGTGCAAATTCTCCAAAGATATCACAAAAATGTGCAGACGTCAAAAAAAAAAAAAAAAAAAAAATCTTGATATCCCAACTTTGCAAGATGACATAGCTCACCCACCTTTCTAGCCAGTTTCCCTGCCTGTTTGAGGTCCTCCAGCCTCCTGTCTAGGAAGTCCCATGTGTCAGTGTAGTCCACAGACTTGTCCTGTATCATACACAACTCTGTGCTCTTGTACACACCTGCTAAAGCCAGTCTTTTGGTATACCAGTTAAACTGGAACACAAACAGGAGTGGTGAATTCAAAAAATTTTTCCCACACAGGGTAATTTACAGTTTTGTTCACATCATGAGAAACTATGACTGGAAAAAAAACTGACACCCCTTACAATAACTTTCCTTAATGTGGAATTAAATAAAGTTACAAAGTAACATGGACCTCCAGGAATGTTAATATCAGCATATTAATAGTCATGTCGTGAACATGTCATAATAGTAACTTGTCATAAGATGGTCTTGTCATAAGATGTTTATGCTCATAGTATCTATATTTTCCCACTTATGAAACTTCCATTATCAAAGTCCATAAAACATGTCAATGTCTTATTTGAGGCAGACATGTGTGGCACATGCCTTCTTGCAAGTTTTCTCACACTTATTTTAAGGCTGGTCTGTGGAAAAGGATGGCCTGGCAAAGAGGTATGCCACATTACTTTAATTTTCAACCCCTGGCCATATAAACATAAAGACCCCAAAGTTTCAGAGAGTGCTGGTAACTGAGTTATACCATCAGCATGTCACTGCCCTTTGCTGTTACTAGATATAAAGAAGTTTACCATTTTAGACATGAGCTCTGAACATTTATCATTTTATTGCAGTTCTTGATGAATCTCAAGAACCATCAGAATTGAA